GTTCCATCTTACAATCCATGGAAAAGTTGGCTGTCCCCCGGTCCAATGCTACTGTTCCATCTTACAATCCATGGAAAAGTTGGATGTCCCCCGGTTCAGTCCTACTGTTCTATCTTACAATCCATGTAAAAGTTGGCTTTCTCCTGGTCCAGTCCTGCTGTTCCATCTTACAATCCATGGAAAGGTTGGCTGTCCCCCGGTTCAGTACTACAGTTCCATCTTATAATCCATGTAAAAGTTGGCTGTCCCCCGGTTCAGTACTACAGTTCCATCTTACAATCGATGGAAAAGTTGGCTGTCCCCCGCTTCAGTCCTACTGTTCCATCTTACAATTCATGTACAAGTTGGCTGTCCTCCAGTCCAGTCCTACTGTGCCATCTTCCAATCCATGGAAAATTGGCTGTCCCCCGGTTCAGCCCTAGTGTTCCATCTTACAATCCATGGAAAAGTTGGATGTCCCCCGGTTCAGTCCTACTGTTCTATCTTACAATCCATGTAAAAGTTGGCTTTCTCCTGGTCCAGTCCTGCTGTTCCATCTTACAATCCATGGACAAGTTGGCTGTCCCCCAGTCCAGTCCTACCGTTCTATCTTCCAATCCATGGACAAGTTGTCTGTCCCCCAGTCCAGTCCTACCGTTCTATCTTCCAATCCATGGAAAAGTTGGCTGCCCCCCGGTCCAGTCCTACTGTTCCCTCTTACAACCCATGGAAAAGTTTGCTGTTCCACGGTTCAGTCTCACTGTTTCATCTTACAATCCATGTAAAAGTCGGCTGTGCCCTAGTCCAGTCCTGCTGTTCCATTTTACAATCCATGGACAAGTTGGCTGTCCCCCAGTCCAGTCCTACTGTTCCATCTTACAATCCATGTACAAGTTGGCTATCCCCAATATCAGTCCTACTGTTCCATCTTACAATCCATGGAAACGTTGGCTGTCCCCCGGTCCAGTCCTACTGTTCCATCTTACAATCCATGGAAAAGTTTGCTGTTCCCCGGTTCAGTCTCACTGTTCCATCTTACAATCCATGTAAAAGTTGGCTGTCCCCTAGTCCAGTCCTGCTGTTCCATCTTACAATCCATGGAAAAGTTGGCTTTCCCTCGGTTTAGTCCTACTGTTCCATCTTACAATCCATGGAAAAGTTGGCTGTCCCCCGGTTCAGTACTACAGTTCCATCTTATAATCCATGTAAAAGTTGGCTGTCCCCCGGTTCAGTACTACAGTTCCATCTTACAATCGATGGAAAAGTTGGCTGTCCCCCGGTTCAGTCCTACTGTTCCATCTTACAATCCATGGACAAGTTGGCTGTCCTCCAGTCCAGTCCTACTGTTCCATCTTCCAATCCATGGTAAATTTGCTGTCCCCCGGTTCAGCCCTAGTGTTCCATCTTACAATCCATGGAAAAGTTGGCTGTCCCCCGGTCCAGTCCTACTGTTCCATCTTACAATCCATAGAAAAGTTGGCTGTTCCCCGGTTCAGTCTTACTGTTCCATCTTACAATCCATGTAAAAGTTGGCTTTCTCCTGGTCCAGTCCTGCTGTTCCATCTTACAATCCATGGAAAAGTTGGCTGTGTCCCTGTCCAGTCCTACTATTCCATCTTACAATCCATGGAAAAGTTGGCTGACCACCAGTCCAGTCCTACTGTTCCATCTTCCAATCCATGGAAAAGTTG